TCATAAAAATAATCATGGTAATCATAATCATGTTCATGTTAATATTAAAGCATAATAATAATAGCAAGATCCTAGGCATGATACTAACAAGATTAATAACAAACCCTAGCATGTCACTAAGCAATAAAAATCAAATCTTTAGTCCTAACATGATACTAACAATCATAAATATTAGAAAGAACGTAGGAAACATCATAACAATCATATTTAATATTAAAATTACCCTAGACATGATACTAGGAATATCATAATAACAATATAAACATGATTTCTACATCATAACATCAATAAATCAATTAAAGTACTTACTTTGATGCCTCGTACCTCTTTCTAACAATAAAATACACACGTTAGTAACTTCAAGGAAAATAATAATCAAAACAAATTAAATTAAATAGTTGAAAGAGAGATTTGGGACCAAACCCTCAGAAATTAAACCTTTCACGTCTAGGGCGAAGGCAACTTCGAATATGGCTAGGGGTATCTAAATCTTGTGAATGCGGAATTTTGTATGTAAAAAGCTAGTTTAGAAAAAGAGAGAGAGAAAGAGAATAATCAAGAAAATCTTGATGAGAGTTGGTGAATGATTTAGAGAGAATTAGAGAATTAATGATTGCGAATGAAAAGTGATTGTAGGTGAATGATGGATGTAGATGATTGAAAACGGAGTTTTTAATACGATATTTATAAAGAAAATCAGCCAAAAAGATAAATTAAACAAAACAGAGTCTGACGCTTAAAAAACAGAGCTGACGCCAACCCTGGCTAGCTGGCGCCAGGCACCAACATTAGCGCCAGGCGCCAAGGCCTGGGGTCAGACGCCAAGCTTAAATTTAACGCGTTTTCGAAAATCAGATAAGTTTGCCGTACTGGAGGATAAAATCGTATAATTTCCTCGAAAATGCTATTTGATTTTGATTAAAACTCTGAAAAGTCAACAAAAGTCAATTCATTAATGCTAATTGAATTAGGAATGACAAAAACCTTCTAGAAGATTCTAGAAGACCAAAACCATTCCAAATTGCATTAGGAATGATAAATCATATTAGGCCCTCCCCTAGATCATTGGGACGTAGTATATAAAGCTCAAACCGGGCCCAGTTTAGTAAATTGGCCATAACTTCCTCAATATTCATCGGAATTGGGCTTATAATATATCGTTGGAAAGGTCTTTGCAAGCCCCATCCAACTACACTACTATTGGACCCATATCATGGACCAAACAAACTGGATTAGCTGTTTTCTTAAAATAAGTTTTCAAAAACAGAGAGAAGAGAAAAGAAAATAAAACTTTCCGCAACACTAGAATTTCCACACTTTCGCTTCATTTGATTATGATTCGACGCAAAAGGTACTCATCACTGAGTTTGGTTTTGGGGAGACACAAATGGGTGTCTACACCTCTTTTGGCCCCAGAAAAAATTCTGAGACATTTTTTCTATCACGTTTAGAATGCTAACTGGAATAGAGAAACATTGCATTGCATAAGTAGGGATAGCTTGGGCCACCGATTTGATGAGAATTTCACGACCTGCCTGCTACAAAAAAATTTCCTTTCAACCCTTCAACTTCTTCCAGACCCGATCTTGAATACTCTGAAAAACAATTTTTTAGAACCTCCAATCTAAGTTGGAAGCCCCAAATACTTCTCGTGTCCTTCGACAGCCTTAAAAGATAACTTCATCTGAAGCATATTTTTCCTTTCAAGATCGATATTTCGGGTAAAAGACACCTCTGATTTTTCCATATTCAGTTTCTGACCTGACGCCATCTCATAGGTTGAAAGAATATCAAGAACCTTTTCCGTTTCATCCTCATTTGCCCGAATAAAAAGAAGACTGTCATCTTCAAAAAATAGGTGAGAGATCGGCTCCACATTTCTTCCAATTTTGATACCATGAATGAGTTTATTCCTCTCTACATCCCGAAGGAGAGCAGATAAACCCTCGGCACACATGATAAAGAGAAAAGGAGAAAGAGGGTCCCCTTGACAGAGCCCCCTGGAAGGCCTAAATTCCCGAGATGCTTGCCCATTCACCAACACATCAAAAGAGGCCGATGACACACAATTCATAATATTTTTCACAATAGAATCCGGAAAGCCAAATTTTTTCATCATTTTTTTTCAGGAACTCTCATTCTACTCTATCATAAGCTTTGCTCATGTCAAGCTTCAATCCCATAAAACCTTTCTTAATTACCAGTCTTCTTTTTCCGCAGATAATGAAAACACTCATACGCCACCAAAATGTTATCTGTGATTAATCTACCCGGAACAAAACTACTCTGAGACTCACTAATAATAGTAGGGAGCACTTTCTTAAGTTTGTTTGCAAGCACTTTCGAAACAATTTTATACAATATATTACACAGACTAATAGGTTTATAATCAACAGGAGACTCACACTAATAATTAACTCATGGTACAAATTTTTTTCTACTTCAAAAATTCGGCATTGAAAATTAGCGTCCCAAAAAAGAGAAAAAATTCCAAAAGGCGTTAAGATTATACGAAGTATATGTAACCGAGTAACTTTTTTTATTATTAAATAAAATATTCTATTTTACTGGGTACTTCGTAATTGAGAACATGAACCACATACAAATCATGAACTATTTTGTGCTTCTCGGTAAATATAAAAACTAGTACTCCGTACTTGTTATTACTCTCTAGTGTTATGGTGTTAATTAATTATGAAGGAAACAAGTTTAGTCGTTGAAAAGGAACATCTAGTGGTTGCATGTACTCCATTCGTCCCCTATTGATAGCCCCTTATGGACAATTTTTACGGGAATTAATAAACTCAAATAAGAATAGTTAAACTACATTGAAAAAGTAAATTGACATTGAGTATGCAAAAAAGTAGAGAGAGAAAGTAATAAAAGTACATGGGAAAATAAAATTTATACAAATATTATTGCAAATTGGAGGGAATTTTGATAAAAAATTAATATTAATGGTTGTTGGAAAAAGCAAATGGGGTGAACATTTTGGGATTAAAATTTTCCCATAAAAGACTATCAAAAGGGGATACAGGGAGTATGATTTTAAGTCGTTTTGCAACCATTAGAAAACTAGCACAAATGCACAATGCAAGTATATTATATTATTATTATTATTTAACATATATATATATATATATATATATATATATATATATATATATATATATATATATATATATATATATATATATATATATATATATATATATATCGAATGAAAATGTGGAAGTACATATATATATATATATATATATATATATACGATATTGCTAACGAGTGCCCCGGGGCATTAGATAAGGATAAATTATATTGATTGAAATGGTATAAAGTTAGGAATTCATGACAAAATCACGCGTCGTTCGGTGTAATTAATGTTAATTTTACTCTAATATTTGCACTTTAATTCTCTTATCTAATGCCCCGGGACGCTCATTAGCTTTTGCCATATAAATATGGTAATTTTAATTTCTGTTTGTTTAAGTACTATCTATAATAAATGCAAATATGCTTCTCTATATTGTGAGTTAAAATCAAGCTTAACTACACATGTCCTTTGATACCTTTCCAAAAAGGGAATTTCTTTTATAAAAAAAATGTATACATCAATTCCACTAAATTCAAGCATTTGTCAATGTTCTCGTTAGAAAAAGTTCTGACCTATATTCTATGCTAGCATACAGTACGTTTGGGCTGTTAGTTAACAAAATGATATTTTTAAATACTTAAAGTCCCTAAAAAAACAGTGTACAATAATTATCAACAAGTTATATCAAATCTTCCAAACATAAATAAACGATGCTATATATGAAGTATATGGAGTTCTTAATTTGAACCAATTAAATAAGCTGTTTTTTTTCTCCTTAAAGAAGTTAAGATTTTTGTTCAAACTTGTTTATTTACTTAGCCAATTAGGTCATCGAAACATATAAACTCATTTGTAGCCCGTATCAAGTTTGCATGATACGGTTCCGTCTTAATTTATGCATCGGTTTCTCATCTTCTTATTATTGATAACCAACCATACATGGATTTTGTTCAGCTCCTTTGAAATTTTTTAGTGTGCCATCTTTGCCAAAAACACATTCTTAGGGAAGTTTAGCAATTTCCTAATTTATCGTTTTAAAAATTAAAATGTCCAAAATTCTTTTATAAATTTTAAATAGAATTATAAAGTACAAATTAATTTATTAATTATGATATCAAATATAATAATTTCTTTTATTAGTAATGAATACATACCTTTTAATTATTGATTTACTAGGGGAAAAAAATTAATACAAATTCACGTACTTTACATACATTATAATTTTTTTTAAAGGGGCATCATAAAAAAGTTAGAAGTCAATAATAATTTATGCTCTCCAATAGATATTGGGTGGATTACAGTTTAAAGTACAAAAATAGAAAGTATAAAACACCCAAGTGTTGCAAGGCAGTTCATAGATTACATATGATGATGAATAATTGGCAGCTTAATTATGCTAAATAGGAAGTCATCACTCATCATCAACTACATTAATTAACTTAATTAAGCTGGTCATCATGCGTCACTTGAAGCCTGCTATTGGAAAATATATATATACACTTTTTTTAATTATAATTTTTTATTTCACCATATAATATAAGAAATTAAGTACATATTTATGCACTTGTATAATAATACTTAATATTATATACTCATACAATTTTACACAACAAGCTTATTAACTCACACCAGATTAACTTGTGAGACAAGATCGGGTTCCATTCCAATAGAGCTTCCCTTCTTACTTCCTATAAAAAAAAACACTTCGTAGTATATACTACATAGGAGTACATACTACATAACATAGGAGTACATCTTTATAGCAATATAATTAAAAATTATGCACTAATATAATAATACTACGTATAATATACTCATATAACTTTATACATCGAGCTTATTAACTAATATCAGATTCCAATCCGTTAGGACCCTTTTTCCTACCTATCAAAAAAGATATTTTGTATAACAATATAGAATATATAGTACTGTACTGTATATCTTTACATCAATAAAATTAAAAAAAAAAGAAAAAGAAAATTTAAAATTGTTCCGAAATGTAAATTCAGGTGCATGAAAAGCAATATAAAAATAAAAGTAAAGTTTGCATAAATCTTGACTATAGGGTACATAAATGTTCCAAAATTTCCAAACTAAACAGTAAACCAATAATTAATCCTTTGTTATCTTGTATATATACCCTTATTACATGCATCCCCACCTCTTAACACTTACCTCTCCCTTTCCATTTTTTTCCTCTTCACTGATTTTATTTTTCCTTATTTTCTCTCTCTACTTTCTTTCTCTTTAGATGGCGGAACTTGATCATTTTCAAAGACATAATAGACCCATTACTAATATCCACAATACACCATCAACACCCACACGGTTGAAGCTTTTCGGCATAAACGTATCATCTAAACACTCTATTTCGGAATTTGATCAGTTCGAGGAGGTGGAGTCATCGACTTCACCTCACTCGAAATCTTCTACCACTACTGGAGCAGGCGAATCATCGCCTGACTCTAGAGGTGGAGGTGGTGGTGGTGGAGGTGGAGGCGGGTTCTCTCCGACTAATAATACAGTCGGAGAGGCCGCCTCTAGGAAATACGAGTGTCAATATTGTTGTAGGGAATTCGCAAACTCACAAGCGTTAGGGGGTCACCAAAACGCGCATAAGAAAGAGCGACAACAATTAAAACGTGCTCAAATGCAAGCTACACGAAACGCAGCGGCAGCAGCTGCTGCCGCTGTTTCGTACGTTCGGAATCCCATTATTTCCGCTTTTACCCCGCCACCTCATCTTTTACCTGCTTCCGCCTGTGGGGCCCCGGCAGTTATGGTGCCGGGCCCACAGTCATCTTCATCACCTCCTGGTTGCTCTTCCTCCTGGGTGTATATGCCACGTGCTGCCATGCCATCTCTCCATGTGTCACACGGGTGCGTGTTTCCGTCATCGGGATCCAACGGTGGGAGTTTAGCCCCGCCGAGGGGTGCACCGGGGTTGTCGTATGATAGTTGTGTAGGAGATCAAACTAGCTTCAATAGGACGTCCTTTTCTCGGCAGGGTAATAAGGTTGACGGGCCTTCTTTGAGTAGGTTTAGTAGAAACACCGGGCCTGGGTTTGATGATGGTGTCGGGCTTGACTTGCACCTTAGCCTTGCTCCTGCTGGTCCTTGATTTAGAAAAACCCGGGCTGGGCCCAGGCCCGGACCCGGTGAGATTTATAGATTTTAATTTTTTTTCTTCTTAAAATTAAATTCTTTAAAATTTTAGAGATTTGGGTGGGTATGACATGTTAATTGTCGTCTTATTCGGGTTACCGGGTTTAGCTTGTAATGTTACTCTATTATTTTAGAAGTTTTTTAGAAGTTGGATCTTTGTACATTATGTTTCATCTTGATTCAAAAATATTAATTAATTTATTTGTTTTCAACATGCTACCTTTAAAATTTAACTTTAAAGGAATATGGATCTCTTTTTTTTTTTTTTCCAATAACGTTTGCAATTAATAGTATTTTTTTTTCAATTTATTTACTGATATGATGGTCTTGAAAGTGTATTCGTAAAATTCTATATACATTTGTGTGGAAGTAGGAATGGAGCATGATTCAACCATTAATACACATGTTTGATCTTTATTAGCTGATGAAACAATTTCTTTTATTACGGAATTCCACATTATAATTAGGATTTCGTAAAAGAAGATATAAGGTATCTCAATCCAGAAGGAATATGATTGAATTTTCCAATAACGCCTAGAAAGCTAGAAGAACCCCTTGCTTTTTGACAAAAGACACATGAAATAGTGTGAACCTGAGAATGAAACTAGCATGTACGTGTTGTTGCAATCTACAAAGAAAAAGGTGTAGAAAAGAAAATAAGAAAATAGCTTAATATCCATAACGTACTTTATAAGTTTACTAGTTTAATGATGTGAAACATTAGCTCTGAAAATTATATACACTTCAGTTTTGATCAATTACCTTTTACCTAATTAGTGAATAAGAATATTTCCATTTCAAATGTTTTTAAAATTATGTAAAAATGTAATCAATAATTAATGAGAATAAAAGTACATTCTTATACTTGTAATTACCAAAAAAAAAAAATCAATTGGTATAAAATTAGTATTGATTAGCTCCCCCTTCTTCAATCAAAATATTTTTTTTTTCATATTCATTTTCCTTGATTAGTGGGTTTGACATCATGCAATGTATACCTTTTCTTTAATATTTTAGAGGTACAAAAAAAACATAAGAATCTATAATGCTGTATTAATAAACAAATAAAATGTCAATTAAGTGTAACCTTATGACACTTCTTGAGGGCATTTGCTAAAATGTGCATTCTTCCACTTGATTTATGATATATTAAGAGCTTGCACGCTCTATTGTAGTAATGACGTCAAAAAATTGGCCAAATAGTAGTAAGAAATTCGAATATTGAAAATAATACGAATTGACTAAGACACTTGTTTGGTTATTTTGGAGCCACTCAAGTATAAAAATTGGATTTGGTTATTCAGAGTACATGGATATAAAGTAAGTAAGTCCCATCATACTTGTACTACACAAAGTTAATCAATCAACACTTATATTACTCCCTTCGTTTTTTTGCAAGTGTCCTAATTTGAATATTGACTTACCTCGTCAATAAAGCTTGATCAATAACACAATTAATACTTATGATTTTCTATTTCAAATTTATTGCAAAGATGAGTATAAAGTAAAGTGATTTATCTAATGGATACTGACCTACCTCGTCAATAAAGCTTGATCGTTCCTAATTAGAGATCCATCCTACTATATGTCTATCTAGGGTCAAATAGAATACTGAACATGTTGTATGTTCATAATTAAAAGAAATTGAGAGTCACAAAGCTTTTCGATCAAATTTGGTTGTGTTCATATGGGCCTGGCCTTGGGCTTGATCACAAAATGCACAAGCTCAAAAACAACAAGCAAAACATAAAATAAGTTGCCTAATAAACAATAAAATTAATAACAAACCAAGTTAGAGAAAACAAAATAAATAAATAAATAAATAAATAAATAAATAAAACTAATTTGGGTGCAAGCCATGTTGAACTGTAAATTCGGTAGGTCGATTTGAGCACTATATAACTCATTCAGTCATTTGGCATATCAATTTATTACTTCATCAATCCATTAGTTTAAATTTGTTAGTGATCTTGGGTATCTTGTTATGTATTTTGAGATATAAGCTATCCTAGTAGTTCTTTTGGTATTTAGAGAGGTACAAAGAAAAGTGATGAGAATCGATTTCAAGATTACCTGGAACCAGGAGAGGAGCTCTCAGCTGTCTCTCACTCTCATATATAAGTTATATTTAGTATAATGTTTTTAATTTATTCGGAGTGGCTTTACTTTATATTTAGGGAAATTAAATTCAAGTAATTAATTCAGTAAGTACTTGACATGATTAAGGGCTTGTTCCGATTTACTGAATTTATGAATAGAGCTGAAATGAATTGTTTATGACAGAAGAAAATTAATAATTGAACTGAACTTAATAGAACTGATTGAAGCTGAACTGACCTGAACTGAAATTAAGCTGAACAGAACATATCCTAATTTGGAGCAGTAAGCTATTGACATGGTCAAGAAATTGTTTTTCAACCTAATTTAGCCAAAAACAGAATTGGTAGTTTCCGACTCCCCCAAGGGCCTTGCCTTCTTAACTTTTAGGTCAATAAATTTCCGATCCTATGAAATCATAAGAATTTCTTTTTAATCTACATGCAAGCTATTTCCATAGTAAACATCAATTTAATTGGTGTAAGGAATTGAAAATTGACTTAAGTGGGGAGATGAGTAATTATCATTGTATATATACTTCCTCTGTTGCGTTAATATTGCAATAATGATGAAATTACGCACCCCAAAGCACATTTATATGCTAAATATCTATGATTGTGTAAGTGTAAAAATTATAAAAAGTTGATATTGTGAAAGTATTTTATGAGACGAATCCAACAAGATCCCACATGACTATATTTTGCTTAATGTATAAATCATATTATATGGTTAAACAAAAGTGATAAATGGTGCAAAAAGTCCATTGTTGCAATATTTATAGAACGAAGGAAGTATATAGGAAGAAAGCTTCTACATAATCTCTCTCTTTTTTTTTGACAGAGTATATTTTGGTTTTAATCAAATTTTGACAAAAAAAAAATTTCATCTTCTGGTTTTAATCAAATTTTGACAAAGAAAATTTCATATCTTTCCACTTGGGTGTTAGGTCACTAAGGGCATGTTCTCTTCAGATTATTTTCAGTTCAGTTCAACTCTAATAAGTTCAGTTCAGTTCAATTCAGTTCTTAATTTCTCTCATAAAATATTCAGTTCAATTCAATTCAGTTTAGCTCCAATAAGATCAGTTCAGTTCAACTCAATTCAGTCTATCAAAATAGGCCCTAACTCATTAATTCATTTCCTTGATTTCAATTATTACTCGATGAAATGAAGAGATATTATATCGATCTTCTAAGAGAATTATACTCCCTCTAGACCAAATTAATATAGACTACAGTACTAATCTTATCCCTATCTTCTTATAAAAAGTGGGAGAATACTCTTATGAATAGTGTGAAGACTATTATACCCTTAATAAAAAGTTAATTTACATATTTGCCCCCAATTAAAATTAATTTTGATGTATTTAAGTATTTAACCTTTCGTATTGTTGTCCTTTATTTCTTTTGTTTATCTTCCTTCTTATCATACCACCGAAAAGGCGAAAACTTCTCATTTCTCAATTTCCTCTATTCTCACAAACTCCTTTTCTGGTTGCTAGAAAATACTACTAACATGTCAGTTTCCATTCCGGTACCTTTGGTCACCACCCACCGCCGCGATAATTCTATAAGGATGATGACCCTGCCGGTTGTTTTTTTATACTAAAGGAAATGTAAAGTTTGTGCAATCTATTTGTTTATGTTATACGAAGAGGTGACTAAGCATGCTATTTGGAGACGCCTGTATCCGATTAGACTTTGGGACAACTCAAGATTGATGGAGTTGACGGATGAATGTAATAATGGTACCTTGGTAGTGGTGGAGTGTAATTGCTTGGATACCATTAAAATGATAAAGAAAAAAAAAAAAAACCTATAAGAGTAATACTTTTGATGTATCTCTTTTAGTTGTGTTTATAGGGGAGTCAAACAAAGCAACTCTTTTGTTGAGTCTTCTAAGGAATGTAGCAGTTATGTCTCACATATGAGGTATTATAGTCTTATGCTTTTGATTAAGAGGTGTTTGAAGATGTATTTTGCTTTAGTTACTGTGTCATTGTCTCGATTTTTTATCCTAGGAAAAGCTCATAGTTTATGATTATAGGAAAGAGTTAAGATGTACTCATACATCATCAGTTAAATACTCGTTTCTCATAAATGCTATCTCCTCGATTATATGGTCCAAAGACTATCTAATTGCAGGTAAATATACTAATTCACAAAGCTTTTGTGCCAGGGTGTTCAATGAGGGTTTTGTCCTCTCCATACACTCCTATTGTAGTCATAGAATGATGCGCAATAACTTTGATTGCATTTTTATATATTAATACGTTACATTGGCGAGTTATAATATATATGATCACTTTCAAAATAAATAATCATAACACAAAACATGTTTCTACAATTAAATAAATTAAGATATAATCTCTTATTGATCGACCTAAAATAAGTATAATTCAACAGCAACTCAAAGTATGTAAAATTTGAGGTTTGAATTTATAACTCCCCTATGATGGCTAGTTGTATCGCGCGCATCACGTGCGTAGGTTTCCCTAGTATCAAAATAACACCAAAACAAAAGAAATTAATATCAAAACCATTAATAATTTCATCTCAATAAATTATACTCCAGAAATCTATCCATTTGACCATTTACTCATCTCAAAGTTAAGGAATCTAGGTTAGCCAATAGCCATAGTGAATAGCATGTGGGTTTTATGTCGGCCTCTAATAGCGGATTAAGATTTAATCACCCATACAAAGATACAATGATGGAGCTAGCTTATTGATAATTTATTATTTTTGGTGCAATAGCTTATTGATGATTTAACATCATATATTATTATCTTATGACTTGGAAGTATATGCAACTTGCATAAATCCAAATAGCAAGTAACCAAAAAATGAGGGAGACGAATAGTAAACATCAATTTAATTGGTGTAAGGAATTGAAAATTGACTTAAGTGGGGAGATGAGTAATTATCATTGTATATATACTTCCTCTGTTGCGTTAATATTGCAATAATGATGAAATTACGCACCCCAAAGCACATTTATATGCTAAATATCTATGATTGTGTAAGTGTAAAAATTATAAAAAGTTGATA